CAGCCTGGCCGCCCAGGACTCCTACCTGCAGGGCCTAGCGAGCCGGGTCTGCGCGCAGCGCGCCCCGGAGGCGCGGAAGAGGAAACGAGGTAACGGGCTGCGCCGCCTCCGCGCGTTTGCAGAGAGCGGGGCTTGTGGCGTGGTTAAGCGGGGCCAGACCGTGCTGTAACGTGGGCCTAGGCTTTGCGGGCACCGGAGCACGTGCACTGCGAATTACGGCTGGATGTAAATTATGATGAGCCCTGGGAAGCTGTGGTCTTTAGTCATTCACGTTTGTGCGCGTTGTTGAATATGGGAGGGCTGGAATATTGCTGAAGTGTGTGCTAGCGTGCTTGGCTCCGTTTAAATAAATCCTAAAGTGTATATGTTTAAAGATTAAGGTATGCCATGATGATGTTATACAGCATTGCTAGAACTTTAGTTTTCAATAAAAACTGAATGTTATGAAGTGGGAACGTAGCGTTGCCATGTTTAATGTAATTCTTTTTTGCCTTCTAGTGTCTAAGCCAGGCCAGCCTGAAGAGGCTGACAGGCAGCTCAAAAAAAGGAAGAGAAAGAAACCTAGAAAGCAAGCTGAGAAAACAAACGCTCCTCCAGTTAAACAGGCGGTGTCTGATACCAATAAACTTGCTCCAGTGCAGAAAGCAGCCCCTCAAGCCAACAAATCCTCTGTACAAGATGTTACACAGAGCAAAAATGAGAGTTCAGTTACAGGTGAGAATACCAGAGTCTGGTTAAAGTTACCTGAACGGACACGGCTGCATTTTGGTTGCATCATACGTGTACACTTTGGAACGCCTTTAAGAAATCTAGCTGAATTGAAAAGATCTTTGCTTACTTTGTGTTCCCTAAAAACTTGCACACATGTGCATAACCTTTTAATGTGACCACCGGGTGGCTCTCTAGAAATACAAGCGTTTAGTAAGTCGCAGACTTTTTATAAATATGGCTCCCTTCTGGGATTTATGGCATAGCTGCAATCTCTTTCATCCCATGCCTGCCTTCTGTTATGAAATGCCTGATCTCAAAGAAAAGGCTGAAGGGAAAAGATGTCCGTGGTGTCTTTGTTTCCACTAGTCGGGTATTTGTCTTCAGGCTTGTTAGGCAGCCATAGGGCATGCCTCTATTAGTCTATGCCACGTAGTCTTCAATGATGATGTGGATGGAAGGGGAATTCTAAAGAAACCAATAAAATATAACCTATTGGTTTCTTCAGAGTTTCCTTTCTTCTATTCACAGCATCTCAAGAGATCTCATGGTTCTTTCCATAGCCATTCTGCTGGAATCAGCCAGAAAAATTCTATTTAGACAGTGTTGTATTTTTAAGGAAATTGCTCTATTTTCCACCTATTTTCCAGATGGCAAAAGTGAAGTCGGTTCACCTTCTTTTTCTGCACTGAATCTCTTGCGTCAGAGATTACATGAGAAGATTAAAAAAGCTTCTGGTCAAGTAAGAGAACTTTAGTAATATGTGTATGTGTGTGTGTATGTGGGAAAAAAAAAATACATGTATGTATGTATATGCAATGTAAGCTCTTGCTAGGTCTCCTGGGGGTTTGAGGAACAGGGCTATGATCTTGCTAGGTTGAGGGTTTGAGTTGAGTGCTGTCTCCTAAGGAAGTGCCTATAGGCATTGTTGGGAGTCCTGCCTGAATTCCATGGTCCAGAGAAACAAGTGAAACTAGGCAGGGCCTATTTTGGAGGAGAGTGTGCCTCTGGTGATTTAAAAGAAAAAGGTACTACTGCATTGAGATTCTGAAAGGGGGCATGTGTTTAGTATCTCCGAAAGCTGAACTCACAACTTGTCATAAGAAGCACAGTATCTGTGATGAGAAGTTTGTAATCAGGAGCTTGAGAACATCCCACTTCTAATCCTGCCTGTTCTCTTTAAGGCAACTGATTCATGTCATACCTTCTTCTTAGGATGATGCCAAAGAATTACCCCCTGCTGTCCTGGAGAAGAGGCGTAGAAGGAAGTATGAGAAAGAGAGAAAGAAGCGTCGAAAAAAGGAGATGAAGATGAAGGAGAAAATGGAGAAGAAGGGAACAGAGGAGTTACCTGTAGAGCCGCAAAGCAAAAAGGAGGAGAGCACAGCTGAGATCGTCTTTAACAGGGTTGAAGTCCATGAAGAGAACGAGCTGAGCAAGATCCAGAAGAAGAAAGAGAAGAGGAAAGGAGTGAAAGGCAATCTTACGCCTCTGACAGGCAAAAACTACAAGCAGCTGCTGAGCCGGCTGGAGACCAGGAAGAATAAGTTGGAGGAGCTCAAGGATAAAGACCAGAAGAAAGCTCAGGAGCTAGAGAATAAGATGAAATGGACAAATGTTCTCTATAAGGCTGAAGGCGTAAAGATTCGTGATGACGAGGAACGTCTGAAAGAAGCTTTGAAGCGCAAGGAGAAGCGTAAAGCGCAGCGCCAGAAGCAGTGGGAGAAGCGGACAGAGAAAGTAGTAGAAAAGATGCAACAGCGGCAGGAAAAGCGTCGCAAGAATATTCAGAAGAAGAAAAAAGACAAGACGGAGCGCAAAAAAGCTAAGGCCCGGAAGAAAGGCCGCGTTTTGCCAGAAGACTTGAAGAAAGCTGGCCTAAAGTGAGAGGGAGGCAATTAATACTCGCAGCCTGGAAACTGAAGTCCCACTGATGGGGATTTAGTAATGAACTTTCACAGAAGTGCTCTGGTACATCTGCCTCGTGCTCTCCGTATTTTTGTATCACGACTACCCAGACCCGTAATTAGGGAACTAAGGAAGTTATCTCTGAGAAATCAGAGCCTGCCTGGCCGCCTTTGTTATTGCCTCTCTACTCAATAAAAACCTCTTGTGTGTTTGTGAGATTGTGTGTTTCCCTGTCCTGAAGAACCACTTCCTGATTCCGTTTGTGGTTTTCTTGTTGCTTTGGTTCTGTTTTTTTCTTCCCCCGGGGCCGGAGGGTAGTGGGGTTATGGCCGGGGCGAGGGTCGCGGGCGCGTGGGTGCACCCGGAGCTAGGCCCG